GGGTAGGATTTTCAAAAACAGCATATAACTTCAAGCAAAAGCGCTGACCTCAGTAGTCATGGTCAAATAACGCTATTGATCCCCATAGAACAAACTACAACGTCAATAAAACCGGAAATTTGTTTATAGTGCCATATACACAGAAAATGTGGACATACCGTCTGCTTACTTAGAACTATGTCATCTCAAAACGTTCGGCCATCGAATCAAAATCACTGCACCGAGTTCCAATTATGAGGGTTACACGAAAGCACACAAGACGAGGAAACGCCACGGAACACAAGCGCGTCGCGAGTCCGACTCGGCAAAGTGAGCTGTGAGTGAGTGAGGTGGAATTATTGATCGAGTTCCCGGCGCCGGCGAGCCGCATATCCCTAGTTCACGTAAACCCCTCCCCTCGGAAAACCTACCCTTGTGACACAATATTGTAACGAATCTTTTTAATATTGAATAAAAGGTTTTTTTTTCATTTTTGTCATCTAATTCACACCTAAATATGTCATATCCGTTTATCTTTATACGTTAATTATGTTTTGGATTGAAGTTGTCTTAAATTTTTCTTTTATTTTTTTTTATTGCTTAGATGGGTGGACGAGCTCACATCCCACCTGGTGTTAAGTGGTTACTGGAGCCCATAGACATCTACAACGTAAATATGCCACCCACCTTGAGATATAAGTTCTACAATCTCAAGTATAGTTACTACGGCTACCCCAACCTTCAAACCGAAACGCATTACTGCTTCACGGCAGAAATAGGCGGGGCGGTGGTACCTACCCGCGCGGACTCATTTGAATTATTGAGAACACTTACTCCCACTACTGGGATAGCGTATTAACACGCATGGGAACGCACCAAACCCCAGCCTATTTCTGCTGCAAACCAATCGCCCGTTCCAATTTGAGGAGCGGGTTCTTGGTTTTTCTGTAAAATTGAGGTTTCGACCTCACGTCTCAAAGTGGGTGACGGCGGAATTTCAAATACGTACTCGGTATTATAATTTTATTGAAAATGTTTTTTTTTTATAACTAACGCCTTTTTATTGGAAGTTACCTAAATGATTTAATGATTTTTTTAACACCAGCGTCCCGGGCACCATTAAGCAGGCCGAATGCAGGCAGCATTGGAGGAAGCTGGTGCAAAAACTGGACCAAGGTGGTCACGACCCTCAGTAATGAGGAACGACAGAGAAGAAGAAGAAGAAGAAGCAGAACCCCTTTTTAATGGAAGTTACCTAAATGATGAATGTAGTTAACAAACAATCAACTATTAACTTAGTTGGAAATTTACCTTTAGATTTGTTAGTTGTCTTCATCATTAATAAATCTCAAGATCTTTTTATGTTTTACCACTCAATTATTTTTCTTCTTTTGGGAGAAAGCATTGAAATGAGCTGCCATCAATCAATATTTAAATAGGTAAATTATCGCCCCCTGTCTCTCACACCCAAATTCTAGTAACGGTGACGTCACGAAAATGCAATGTGCATCTTCATGACGTCACCGTCGTCATTTACAGTTTGGCAATTACCCCGACCACTACATGTAAGAACTTTGTAACTTAGTGAATATCTGCATGATTTTATAAAAAAATGGATGTTTTCATACTGTGATAACATAGATTATACTACTGAATATATAAATAGAATACTACTGATTAATTTTCAATATGGTCATATCACTAATAGCTCAAGAGATGTGATTGATTTTATGTATCACATTTTCTCTTTTGTTTTCTTATTTAAATTTTTATTTGTAATTGCGGAAAATTTCTCTTTTCTTTTTTTGTTAATTATACTAAAGCTCTTTACAATATTTATACTATATCTAACTACACAAAATAGATTAAGAAAACCATCTCTGATAAACAAAGAAAAAAAAGTTTTTGGCTATTTTTAAACATACTAGGTACTATTTTTAAATACATATTGGTCTCAAATTATATTGGTCTAATGTATGTATGAGCCCTGTCGAACCCAAAACAGCTGAATTGATTTTGATGAAATTTTCAGCAAATCTTCATATTGGCCTGTGATCTTGTGAAATTAGGTAGTGATCAGATCAAAGTTAAATAAAAATAGACCAGTAACGCAGGTCTCATTTGACTAGTTTATAATATATGTAAATGGTAAATTTTGAGTTAAGATCCTCAAAATTATATACTCTAAACACAAATTTATATACTCTGTATGATTGCATCTACTGACTGAATTTATGTTTGTCTTGATGAAAGTCAATAATGAAAGTCACCCAAAGTCCCTATTGTATTATATAACAGCTATACCACTATTCTGACTAGAATCCATAATTGCTTCAACATAAATAGGTAGTACTTTCACATATTCATCTATTATCTCTATCAGCCCAATTATGGCTCTATGGGTCAATTTAATTGTGAGTAATATCATCAAGATTCACAATGTATTGAATTATTTAACTACAATTAAGTATCATCCAAATGAGTTAAAAAATAAGAAAGCTTGTGTTTCTAGACAATTTATACCCATTTAAAATTATATTATTAGGTATTATAGTCTAGCCAGGTAATATTAACCATCGGAACATTACATAAGTAAAACTGACATCATCATCATCTCAGCCTGTCCACTGCTGAACATAGGCCTCTCCAACCAATCTCCAGTGTGGCTGGTTCATTGCCACCTGTATCCTACGTGACTCACCGATTCTCACCGGTCGTCAGTCCACCTGGTAGGTGGCCATCCCACACTGCACTTGCCAGTACGTGGTATCCACTCAAAGGATCTTTCCGCTCCATCGGCCGTTCAATCTTCGCGTTATGTGGCCTGCCCACTGCCACTTCAGCTTGCTAATCCTACAGGCTATGTCAGCAACTTTGGCTTTTCTACAGATCTCATTTCTAATTCGGTCTCTTAAAGAAATACCAAGCATAGCCCTCTTCATAGCACGCTGCGCGACCCTAAGCTTACAAATATCCCTTGTGAAGCACCACATCTTGGAACCGTAAGTCATCACTAGTAAAACACATTGGTTTACACCTTTGTCTTAAGGCACTGAGCGATTTTGGACAGGAACACATTTTTTAATTTACTCAATGCAACCGAACAATTTTTTATTTAGAAATTTATTTTCAATTAATTATTATTAAAATTTTAATGAAATGGTAGAGACAAATGAGATCCCTGAGCCCTTTGACTGGCATGTAAGTCACTGGTGCTCTATCTGGAGCACTGAAACAGTTAAGTCAATTTCTGTTATCAAGTGTCTGGATTGCCAACTTTTGTTTTTAATATATAACTTAGTCTTTTAGGCTATTTCAAATAGATTCATTCTTAGTATCTTCGGATTCATCTTTGTCCAGAGTTTACTAGACATTTCAGCGTCTTAGTAACAGAAATCGACATAAGAACTTCAGTGGACCACGTAGGGCATTGGCAACCTACATGGCAAGCAAAGGATTAATAATACCATAATACCATGTCTGTCTAAATATAATATACGCTGATTCTGATCTACAGAGGATATGGACAAAACCCTTTTATATACTCAACTATGACAGCTCAATTACACATTTCTCCAGTAAAAGACACTTACCAAATATTAAAGAGCATTCTCTGTGCGAGGAGCTTAAAACATTAAATTTCAGAAAATGGTTTAATCTATTTTGGCATGGAAAAAGACTTAAATTAGTGGGTGAAGATACACAGCATGTGGTTTTTAAGATCCAAAAGAAGAAGCTCACCACAATACAGTTATCCAATATTCAAAGCAATATTTTTAATCAGTCTGAAGATTAGTTGGATGTTTTACAAATCTCATATTATCTCTTTTGTTTTATTGAAATGGATAATTTCTGTGAGATTAAATGGAGAATGAAGGTATAGCTAGAATAGCTGTGATAACCAATATAGCCCAATTATTACGAGGTTGAAGTGACATTATATTGGCATATTGGGAAGGTACATTGGCTCTAGAACAGATGGCATCTAGGGCCAAAAAGTTCAAAAAGTGTGTTCTAAAGTGTGTGGTTGTATGGATTATTGAAGGATGTGGCAATTTGCTAGATGCAGACTACACTGAACCCGGCATTGTGGTGAACTTTGGGGGAGGTCCCAGGTAGTTCAAGTGACAAATAGTTGTCTTTACATTTCTTAATAAAATTTTAAAATTATCCTTAAGAGTGTAATTTTATCAACACTCTCACATTGTTGCTCACAGTTAGTCTGCACTAAGTGCACTGCAGTTATGATGCAATATTTATTAAACGATGTCCTACATAATCAACAACCGACTTGAAAATCAAACTGTTAAATTTTAGTTAAGGAAAACTTTTTGGTGACAATTAAGGTCAAATTTTAGAATCATTTTTAATGCATTCAATTATGATAATGGTAGTTATTAATTAATTACTTGATTTTTGTTTAATTACTCATGAAGATTTATTTCCATATTTGAATTTTGAACTTTTCTAGCATGAATGTTTGGAACAGTTCCACTTTGATTTCTTATCTTGTTCTGTAAACGGAGATCCACCCAGATGTCTATAAGAGTGGACTAATGGTAATGAACCATCCGATTTTTCATTACTATGTTTATGACCAATGTCTTGTTTATGATGGTAAATATGATTTTAATCTCTTGACCTAGAAAAATTTCAAATGTACAACCGATAGGTAGCTATTGGCGTATTTAGTTTTTTCGATTATTTGTTTTTTTAATTTAACCAATTATACACAACTTCAGACATTCCATAACTAGCTTTCACTAACGGCATTTAAGGAAGCGTCTTTATCAAATAGCTCAATTGCATCTGACTATTAAGAAGTTTATGAAACATTATAATAAATTAGTAACAGTACTGGGTACAAATTACAGATGAATATTTCTCATTAAAATAAAAGAAATGGGCTTAAATAGAGTTGGCCTAAATAACTGTTTCGAATGATTCTCATCATATTTCGTTGACAATAAACGTTTTACGAATAAAACATGATATTACATATAAATTGTTTTAGAACTTACGTTCTCCTGCGAGTCCAAGGTATGCTATTACAGCACAGTCAAGCACATAAAATTCGTCAGCACACTAAATACACTAGAATACGCGAGTTGGCGGTCAGCCGTCTGAGAACTAATAAATAGGATTCCACGCCACTTACACTATGAAAACAGTTTTTTGACATAACACAGTTCACTTTTTGTCTGAAACTTTTATGTAGCCGTTAATCATGTAAAAACGACTTGTACTATCATCCGTGAATACGAGTACGAACACGGCATCGAGCGAAGCGAAAGACCGACCGCGAAAACCAAAAGCCAACCAACTTCGGTCCGCCCATATCACAGAGTAAATAGCTCGAGAAGTGCATTTATTAATTTTATCATATTAGCAGCAATAGTATATTTAGTTCGTTACATAGGTAGTAAATTTACTAAATTTTGACTATAGAAGTCAGGGAAAGAGTTTACGCAAGAGCAATTTGTTCGGTTACTAGCTAGAATGTCTCCGATTCTCTAGCTATTGATTAGTTATTAAGTCAACATCTTCCATTTTTAGCAGTACTTTATATTCTGGGCTTATCTTCTCCTTAACTCTGTCCCTTAAACCTATTTTATGTCCACAAACATACTCTATCAGTTAAGCAGGACCTAAGGACTTTTAGTAGGAACGCGAAGGACGAAGTTGTATAAATTGTTTTCGTTTATTTATTTAGCGTTTCATAAAGTTTCAACGTATAACATTTTTAGCTTATTAACCGTTTAGCATCTGTTGTAGTACATAAGTATGGGACAATGAATTAAATCCGCTGGACGTGGCTTCTTGGTTCTTCCAAAAAGTCTACTGAAGTCTTAAAAAATAACCATTGTTTCAATCTAAATTTTGGGACACGTTAATTCAACAGTTTAGAGTTTCTATTTGGTAAAAAAATATTGGGCCGTAGAAACAATGTTTCAAACATTATCTGGTGTTTTTTTTAAATATTAATTAATCTAGTTTAATTTAATTATTATAATTTAATTATAATAGTTTAATTTAATTAACTAGATTATTTCAATAATAAACTTATTTGATCCATTAAACGACATTGTAAATAGCATTAACTGAAATATCTTTTATCCAATCTCTTCTAATCACTCTTTGAGAAAGTGATGTCATCGCAACATTCTTATATCTTAGTGAGGGGCAAAAGAAAAAAAAACGAATTTATGACTTAAAAAGTTAACCGATTTGAATAAAATGAAATGTTAAAAAAAGCTTTTAAATTTTCTAAACCTTTAGAGAAACTTCAATTTTATTTACATATTTGAAACAAATAAATTGATGTTCGCTAATTTTCTTTGCTATGCAGTCATCAAAGACCACAGATCAATACATTATCACAGACTATAAAAGATGAGCATGGACTAGTTTGAAAATTTTCCTTTCAATTCGATAGATGGCAGTGGCAGTAGTTTATGGATAGTAAATGGCCCGTGTGGCCCTTAAATTAGTAGGTACGTGGAAAGAAGATTGCTATCTTCCTCGTGCTTCTCCATTCTAAGTATGGAACTAGATCTTTAAAAGAACTGGATAGATTAGAATATTTAAAGTAAGAGAAGATATTCAGAATTGGGTTCTAAAAGAAACTGAAATATTCATGACGCCGAAACTGAAATACTCATGACATTCCTTTGGAAAATTACCGCATTCCTTTTAGAATCTTTACTAAATACCCCGCCTTTTAAAATGATATGGTAAATCATTTTATTCGGTTTATATTTTTATAGTTTTTTCGGTACCGCCAGTTAAAATTGTGTTACAATATTCTTTTTTACGAATATGTAGTTAGGGAAAATTTACTTAAACTAGAGAAATTGGCTTCAAGTTTTAAGTTTTTTTTTATTGCCTAGATGTGTGTACAAGCTCACAGCCCACTTGGTGTTAAGTGGTTACTGGAACCCATAGAAATCTACAACGTAAATGCGCCACACACCTTGAGATATAAGTTCTAAGGTCTCAGTATAATTACAACGGTTGCCCCACCCTTCAAACCGAAACGAATTACTGCTTCACGGCAGAAATAGGCGGGGCGATGGTACCTACCCGTGCGGACTCACAAGAGGTCCTACTTACCACCAGTAATTACGCAAATTATAATTTTGCGGTTTTGATTTTTATTACACGATATTCAGAAACAATACATATTGTAGTTCTGGATAAAACACCTTTGGCTAATGATGGTTGCCATCGACGAAAGCGCCATCTACAAATTCAATAAACGTCATACGTCAAACCACATTGACAGCAAAAACGTCATTCTGTCATTTACTTCTCTTCATTGACTTCATTCACATTATTCATAACTTTCGAACGTAACGAACTAACAGCCTTTTTTTGTAAAATCGAGGGTATACGTAATAATACACCTTTATTGTAAAAAATCGAAAATATACGAAATTATACAGTAAAACGAATTCTCTTTGGATATCCTCCGTTCCTGCGTCTACACACGATATTATTCCTTCACCGTGGAAGTCAATCGTGAACAATTGTTAAGTACGTATTTCATTAGAAAAATTAGTACCCGCCTGCGGGATTCGAACACCGTTGCATCGCTATATTTTTTTTTTTTTTTTTTTTTTTTTTGGTTTCATGTGTNCGAGCTCACAGCCCACCTGATGTTAAGTGGTTACTGGAGCCCATAGACATCTACAACGTAAATGCGCCACACACCTTGAGATATAGTTCTAAGGTCTCAGTATAGTCACAACGGCTGCCCCACCCTTCAAACCGAAACGCATTACTGCTTCACGGCAGAAATAGGCGGGGCGGTGGTACCTACCCGTGCGGACTCATAAGAGGTCCTACCACCAGTAATTACGCAAATTATAATTTTGCGGGTTTCATTTTTATTACACGATGTTATTCCTTCACCGTGGAAGTCAATCGTGAACATTTGTTGAGTACGTATTTCATTAGAAAAATTGGTACCCGCCTGCGGGATTCGAACACCGGTGCATCGCTTCAACACGAATGCATCGGACGTCTTATCCGTTAGGCCACGACGACTTCAGTAACAATTAGTAACAGTTCAGAGGACTTTATTGAGGATTTTACACTAAAATTTAATTGAAAAACCGGATTCGTAGTAACGGAAGTTGATAGAGCAGCATATCGTGTAGACTTTACAGATTTAAAAACAATTCAAATATAAGTATAATTTACCAGTCCAACGGTTTACGTATCGAGGATGCCTCACCTTTCGGCCTAACGCAGATGCTCATTTTCGCCGACACCTGCACCGAGAAGCCAGGAGGAAACGGACGGCGCAATGCCATCATGCCGATGACCCCGACAATGAGGACACCGCGGAGCACACGCTTGCTGTCAGCTTTGCCTGGGCGGATCAACGCACCGCGTTTATCGTGTTTATAGAAGAGGACTTGTCGTTGCCGACCGTCGTACTAACGATGCTTGGCAGCGATGCGTTCTGGAAAGCGATGTTCAACTTATGTGAGTCCACCATCACGTGGAAGGAAATGGCGAAATGAGAGACGAAGAACTCTTCCCTCTCCGCACCGACCTGTCGCCGTCAAGCCGGGGAGAAACGTAAGAGCTCTGGTTCGGGTTCTGTAGGCGGCGGCCTTCCCCCGGTGAAGATCACGGGGTGACCTGAGGAGGTCGACGTTGCGCGGCAGGCTACCAGCACTCTAACGCACCATAGCAACAGCAACGTGAAAAGAGCGCGACCTGGCGAGCTGGGACGGGGACGAGCTGCCGTATCGAGATGGCAAACGTTCCAGAGCCTTCGTTTCGCCTCGAAGGCTCCGTTGGCCGAGCGTCCTTAGGGTGAGCCTCGCTTCTGGTTGCAGTGTGACCGCGGTAACTACCTTAACCTGCCCCAGTGTTGGCCTCGCGGGGGATCGGACGCTTGGGCGAAAGTGCAGGAAAGTCGTTTAGTGGGTGGGATCACGTACCGCTCCCACTATCGACGGATCGAGTTACGTGAGGCTGGACGCTCGCACTGGACGTAAGGCCACTATCCAAAAAAAAAATGTTTTTAATTGAAAATTCATAATTACCAACATCATCCTTACATAGATTTTTTCGTTTTTTCAATACCTAATTGTTGTTATGAAGACTTATCATCTGTTTCCGGCTTAATTGTAATTTCCGATACACTTTATATTTAATAAGCAAAAATAAATAAATGTGCGTGTGTGTGTGTGTGTATTTGTATGTATATATTATTATATGTAATGTTTACTATATGTGCTAGGTTTGTGTTCCTAATTCTTCTTTCCTTTTGCGGGCCTAGAAGAGATTTCAAAATGAAATAAGTAGTGCCCTTGTACACTGTATCCTTATTGTCGTGTTTCTTCTAACAGCTGTGTGTACAAAATATATTAAATCAATAAATAAAAATAAATAAATACGAAGTATAAATACCGCCACGATCCTGCACGTCAGTTGATTCTTAATTGCGTTATGTGTAATAATAGTTCTCGAACAAAAGACAACCACCTCTACGTTTGCTTTGAATGAGGGTTCCACTACCTCTTTTAAGTAGAATGGAATTGTAGAATTTATGCGTTTAGGAAAGTGTCATTCAAATTGATGAGGTCGAAGTGTACTCATTTCCTTTTAAAATATAAATTTAGAAACGGATATAACACGTACTTCTGCTGGTTATCAAAGAGTAATACTAGTTAACCAATTTGACCTCTCTTGAGGCCAGCTTTCGTATTACATACGATCCAAAATGAGGGTGTTGAATTATTCTTGATGTTTCTAAAAAGATAATTAATTTATTTACGTTATAACACCTAGGCATACTAGTTGACTCGTTTATAGTTATATACTCGTATAGTTAACGCCCCTAACTGCTGGTCAGAGAGTACTGTGTGCTTAGTGCGAGTTTTTTAACGTTCTCGATAGCGTAAAAGTTAATTCAAAGTTGGAATGTTTGCATAAGTTTGCCGCTAGGGGCGGCTCTCGTCTGTTGAACGTCCAAATTTTGGACGCAACACTTTAGCGTGCATCTGTTGAGCGTACAAATCTTGGACGCGCGTAGTCCCAATTTTGAACTTCTAACAGATGGGTATAAAATTAAGGTTTATTCTTTCTAACACATCTAAAACTGTACCCGATGAATGGATTTTCTCTCTCACACATTATTTATCTAGGAAACAACTGAAGGCAGCTGTGTGTATTAGGGAATCAGTGTGAAATTCGAGCTCAGAGTTGTTGCGCGTATTTGATAATTTTATATAATATATTTTTCGGTTTTTGTGAGTTTTTATTTGTTCATTATATTTTACTAAACTATTTTATTATTAGCTAACTAAATTTACCTAATACTAAATGAGTGAAAATCAAAATATAAAAATAAGCAAACACAAAGTTTTAAAAGAAAATAACATATTTATTATTCTCTTCATTTATAGTATAAAAATATAAAAAAATCACATCACAAACAATACAAATTTCAATAAAAAAATAATTACTTTAATACTTCACTTTTCAGCTAATGTTCTCAGTTCGAGGAAGCACTAATGAAAGTTAATTATAAAACTTGTCACTGCAAGTTCATTATCAAAATTCCCGAAGACCGTTAATTTCAAAAGCGCCGCCTCAAGTTACATTTGTCCCTTAAAATCTAAAATAAATAGTGCAGTACCAATACACAGCAGTATCGTTAAAGTCATATTTGTAACGTATAATTAGAACGGCATTGTAGTTTTTTTTTTTTTAGATTTCAGTATGTTGTCCAAAAAACTCGTATTCCGATTATAATTAATAAAAATACCCATTCTTCGAAACCTGAAAAAACTGAATCGATACGATCGCCTTTGTTTTTCTTGTATTGCCTTGTATGATTTAAAAATACAGTCCGTGATACTTTCCATCTTATCAATTTGTAAATACGCTAAGTCTTTCTCGTCGAATGCGACAAAGAGGGCAACGTGCAATATAACCCATANAAAACTCGTATTCCGATTATAATTAATAAAAATACCCATTCTTCGAAACCTGAAAAAACTGAATCGATACGATCGCCTTTGTTTTTCTTGTATTGCCTTGTATGATTTAAAAATACAGTCCGTGATACTTTCCATCTTATCAATTTGTAAATACGCTAAGTCTTTCTCGTCGAATGCGACAAAGAGGGCAACGTGCAATATAACCCATAGACACACCCCACTGAGTTTCTCGCCGGATTTTTTCAGTAGATCGCGATTCCGATTCTGTGGTATATTCAGCGAAGCACTGATCTTGCTAGTGTCAAGGTGTAGTGTTTTTCAGGTTAAGCCCTGTGAGCTCACCTACCCGTCCGAATAGCACCTTACGATTAGTTAGGGGAAAAAGCTAAGTCTAATCATATAATTGAAGTTCCTTTAATCGGCTTTATTAGCTATTAAAATTATTGATCGAAGTTTTCAACTTTCTTCGAATTTTTCTCGACTCATCTGGTATGAGACTGTTACAGGGGACCATAGTTGTAATAACGTGAATACTGCCACCAAATTTGAGGTATGAAATCGGTATCTCAATTGTTTTATTTAACGCTTATCGTTCAAACAGGAACGCATAATTGCAGAAATAAATATGGCGGTACCTACCACTAGTGATGTAATTATGATGTCAGCCCGTTTACATAAATCATATAGTCGAATGGTGAAATACGAAGGCAAATGGATCCATTTAATGAGTACTCATTCGATTTCTCATACAACATTACGAGTATTCGTAAAACGAAATTTTTTATATTTGAAAACTATTTTTCTTCAAAAGTTTATGCTTGTTTTCGTTGTTTCAAAGCCTACGACATATTTAAGTCTACTTGCATAAAATCATTGTATGCGATATCTAACATATATTATGTAAGTAAGTCTTAAGTCATTTATCGATGGTAAAAATCGATATTGACACTAAATAGGATTTCTCTATTAAATATCGAAACTTCTGTTCTGTAGAATTATTCAAATAAGGCGGCAAAATATAAAGAACGTTTAAAAGCTAGAAGTCATGGTCGCTTCTGGAATTCCCGTCAATATGGCCTGGGATACGGCCAGTTCTTACTGGACGACGAATGGTGATCCATGTAAGGGCTGTCAGTTAACAGCAATTTACTACCGCTGAGACCAGAACTAGAGCTCCCGCTTGACGAGAACATACTCTTACTGCCCGTATAAAATGATAGTGACGTGTGTAGAGGCTCTCGGCCCGATCGCCGTCTCGCTCGCACCAATGATACAAAGGCCACCGCGATGGCACAAAGGAAAATAACTCCTAACACGCAAAACGCTAAGGCCATTTTCCCTGGAGACAGACAAATCGTTTTGTCGCCCGGCGAAAACCCGCGAATAAATTCTTCATCTTCTATCCTTCTCGATCCTGTAAATCAAACAACGTCGTATTGAGTAATCAAAATTTTTGAGGAGCAAAAATTAAAAAAAATGAAAATAGGTACGTCACTCACCCCGTATAGAAGCTTCATCTTCTAATTCAATATTCGGTGCGTGAACCTCAATACTATTGTAGACTTCCAGTCTGTCTATGACGATTCCTCTCGCGTCCTTATCGAGTCGCGCCTTCCTCAATAATCCATCTCTAGTCTGCTGAGGCTTCTGCAACGCCTTGCAGTCCACAGGAGGGCATTGCCCTTTACATAACTCGATGCCACAAGTGAGATGTAATTTCGCTCTGTCCGGAAACTTGAAAGCAGCGAACGTCGTAACCGCATGTTGGTACGTCATTATGTTCTTTAACATAAAATCTGGATCGGTCTTCGATTGCTTAACGCTTAAGCTCTCGTCTATATTTCTCTGAGTATCGGCCGGTTCGAGTTCGGAGAAATCGATTTCGCTGCTCCTCTGCTTGTGGCTGCGGATGGTGGGCTTGTTGAAGATTGATTCGTCGATCGGACAGCCGGCTTCGTCGAGCAGTTTCTGTGAGGCTTCGCCTTGACCGTCGTGAGCGAGGCAGTTAGTTACGCGAAGCCCGACTCCGACTGTAAGGTAAGATATATTGCCATGTACTTATAACATAATCTTTGAAGATTGCGATCAAAGTATCTAATAATAACATTTGTTTTCGATCGTGCGAGGAGGCTTTAACTTCTGTCAATATAAAAGACAAAACAGTTTAACTCTAGAATATTCCATGTCTATGAATAAAGTACTTTGTGGGAATATTTGATAGTGTTTAAGTCTGAATGTTAGAAATTTATTGAAAAAAAAACACTGAGGTTCCTAATATTTTTTGTGTTTCAAATAAAGAAAACAAATTGAAAACTCGAGGTAATAAATAAATAAAAAGGGCTGTCGCATCTTGTGTACCGAAACGAATGATTTCATAACGACGGAATCAAGCAGATGCCCCACTAACAGAAATTATAATTTCTAACGCGAATTATTTGGTTTTTATTACACGATGTTATTCCTTCATCGTGGAAATCATTCATGAGCATTTGTTGTTGTTAAAAAAAATGTATCTGCCTGCGGAATGCGAATACTAGCTTTTTTTTTTATTGACCTTGTAGACAGACAAGCACCAGACAAGCCAACCTAATGGTGAGTGGTTACCGTCGCCCATAGACTTCAGCAATGCCAATTGCAGAGCCAAGCCTGCCTACCGTTGAGTACTCTCCACAAGCCTCGTTTGAAGAAGGACAAGTCATGAAGGGGAGCTCATTCCAAAGCTGGATCGTATCGATCTCCTTTACGCCACGAAGTCACATGAAATCCTAAAAATATCTACGTAAATTATAGTTTACTGGTGGTAGGACCTCTTGTGAGTCCGCACGGGTAGGTACCATCGCCCCGCCTATTTCTGCCGTTAAGCAGTAATGCGTTATATATATATATATATATATATATATATATATAAGTTATAATTCAAATAATTCATTTGTTAAACTGTCGCCCTCATCCCCTCCTCCAGTAACCAATTAACAACCAGGTGGGCTGTGAACATATCCACCCAACTAAGCAATAAAAAAATAAAAAAAGTTATGTGTAAATTTGGATTTTGTCTCTTACCAGGTAGCGTACATTGAATAAGCAATCTCATGGGCTGTCCCACTTCGACTGTGGCCGGTTCAGTGGCAGCAGCGGCCGGAGACAATTCCATCCAGGCTCGGGCCGCTTCCATCAGCATTTCACGCTGCTCCATTTCGGCCGAACTCGCGAAACCTTGACGGTTTCGACCCATTCTAGAATGTTTTTAAAGTAAAACAAATGTAAAATGAAATAAAATAATAAAACAACTTTAAACGCATTGATATTGCAACTTAGATCGATTTGACCATAGATAATACACTTATTATTTATGAACAAAGTTTTTATTCTCGAATTTCTATAAATTTCGGTAAATACTGAAAAACCACGGGCCAACGCCAAGTGGAGTTGATTTTCAGTTTTAGTTTCGTCTGATGTTTCGTCCCGGCAAAAACTTCCGAACAATCCGGCACGTATTTAAAATTGTGGCTTATTGCATGGTAAAAAAATTATTTTTGGGTAAATCTAATAGTTTGATGGAGCGGTGAAGGTACTTTGGTATGACTCCAGTGCTGGAAAGCACCAGCACTGGACATTATTATTATTATTTATAATTATTTATGAGATTTGACATCCAAATTGTAACATATGTGTAAAAGCTTTTTTTTTTTTTTATTGCCCTTCATTGACTTCAGCAATGCCAGGGGCAGAGCCAAGCCGCTGCCTACAAACTACTACTATTTAGTAGTTTACTCTTTGCAAATAATGCTTTTTTTAATGATTCATGTGTGGTTTGTATGAAGATATAATAGGTACATTATGAGCAAACATTTGAAATCGAAAATGTTGAGACTATAGATGAACGATATAATGCCTATCATTACAGTTGCTTATTAGAAAATTGGGAGATGAATATAAATACATACCTGGATTTTTTTATTTCTTGCCCGGCTATTTCCCTTATTTTATTGTTGATTACACTTTCCAACGCCGGACTGTCGATTTGGACTGCTCGTCTTTGCAGTTTGCATCTGAAATATTTATTGAACAAAAAAAAATCAGCTCACATTTTAATAAAAAAATGTCGCAATACATAAAAAATACGAGGGCTATTCCCACGCGCTGGATGTAGAATCTGTAGAATTATTTTATCTCATTTTCTCGCAGATGAAATTCTTTAGATAATATATATTTGACTCCTTCTAGTGTCGGCTTTCCCTTCACATCACAATGGAGTAAAAGCAGGATACGCTTTTAAAAAAAAAAACTCGAAAGACTGAATTTCCACATTAAAAGGCCCTAAGATAGCATTTTGTCCCGTTTTATGGATATTGAAAGCACATAACAAGAAAATAAACCACGACTACCAAACAATATTAACAAAAATGCTGACTGCGAATCGAACTCAGACCCGGGGTATATTAGTTTATCACTCACCACTAGACTAAGTATATAGGCGAATTATTTCGTTGACATATCTATACTAATATATGATTTAGTGGTTTTTACGGATGTTCCGTTATAACTACTGAACCATGCATCCGATTGACATGAAACTTGGTATTCATGTAGAAAATACATGTACTTAATGGATAGGCTAATATTTATATGAGTGTTGGACTCCCTAATAATAATGACAATAAATAATAATGTTAATTTTAAATGCCCAACGAAGCAGGCGAGTACGGCTAGTAAGTTCATATGAATATATTTATTCAACTCACTTGACCAAGATCTCCTGGTCGGAAGACTGTTGCAAGTGTTTGTCCATTTGCACGACCAGTTCCACGTTATAATACAATTGTTCTTCTTCGTCTGGTTCAAATTCGGTGGTGTTTAATGTGGATGTTCGCACACCGCACGCGTTCGATGGGAGATGTAGCGATATCTTCGTGTTTAGACTGCCTGGAATAATGTGAATCACATTTCAGATATTTAAAGGATGTATTCTATTCAAGCGAATCATAGACATAATTAAGAAACAATTTTACTGTATAATCTTACAATTTTTATAAAACACTTAAGTATAAGTTTGCATTGAGATCAGAACCTTCAGAATTAGGAAGTTTAGAAAATTTATTTCGGTTTGAAGGGTGGGGCAGCCGTTGTAACTATAGTTGAGACCTTAGAACTTATATATCGAGATGGGTGGCGCATTTACGTTGTGGATGTCTATGGGCTCCAGTAACCACTTAGCACCAGGTAGGCTGTGAGCTCGTCCACCCATCTAAGCAATAAAAAAAAACTTATGGCGCTGACGATGATTGATTTGTAAAAATGTATTAATATTATTATTTTTACTTTGTTTCGATATCCCCACCAGATTAACCGTGATAAATAAGATTGGTTCAAATTATAGTTATTTAATCCTGTTGTCTTAGTTTTTAAACTACATTTTTTTTAACACGGTTTTGCTAGCCTGACCTGTATCTGTCTAGCTATCTATCTGACGGAACCTTCCAACGAAATTTTCACAACGTCGGACTAACTTAAAAATTATTAACTTAGAGTGTATGAAGAAATCATGAAAATATAATATTTTTGTTAATTTGGTTTAATATAATTTTTAGTTTAACCTGTCTGTATAGCAATGTTTTTTTTTATGTTTTTGTACCTACCTAATTGTGTAAATTAAGATGTTTGTTTCTAAAAGGGTTTTTTGTAAGATTGTGTAACTCTAAACCAGTTTGTTTGGTTTGATATTCAAAATGTATACACGTACCTTGTGATTGACATTCAGTAGAGAAATCTTTGCTGAAGACTAATCCTTTGAACGGGCGATCCATCTCCAGGTCCACTATGATGGAACCCTTGTCGCACTTGGTAGCCACGCTCACCACCCTGTTGGGCTTACTCTGCTGCCCCAGACTTGGAGTCGCCAAACACAGCAGTAGCACCAAACGCCACATGTTGGCGCATCCTGAAAAAAAGAATAACATATTCACTAATCCAATTAGATTAATGGTCAATTTCTGGAAGGTTCCAAAAGTTTAACCCTAAACGTATCTTAAAGATCGTGAGATCTCTGGCTGATTAACTCTATCTGAATTGAAATTAATACAATTGGCTTAATTCTATTCGTTATCCATGTTTTGTTTATATGAGAATCAACACTTAATCTGTACTTAGTATTATAAAGCTGAAGAATTGGTTTGTTTGTTAGTTTGAACGCGCTAATCTCAGGAACTACTGGTCCTACTTGAAAAATTCTTTCAGTGTCAGATAGCTCATTTATTGAGAAAGGCTATAGGCTATATAACATCACGTTAAGACCGGACACGGTAAGTGGAGCACCAATAAAGTATGTTTTAAAATAGGGGTTTAAATAGCTCCTTAACTTTCTATAATTCAAAAATATTTTCACTTTTTTTTATTGCCCTTATAGGCAGACGAGCATATGGCCCACCTGATGGTGAGTGGTTACCGTCGCCCATGGACTTCAGCAATGCCAGGGGCAGAGCCAAGCCGCTGCCTACCGCTTAATACTCTCCACAAGCCTCGTTTGAAGAAGGACATGTCATAGCGCTCGGGAAACACCGTGGAGGGGAGCTCATTCCGTAGCCGGATGGTACGTGTCAAAAAAGACCTCTGGAAACGCACTGTGGATGACCGCAGTGGCTCCAGGTAGTATGGATGAACTCTACTCCGGTGGCGGGCGATGCGATGGTAAAAACGAGATGCCGGTATCATCTCGAATAACTCCTCAGAGCACTCCCCGTGGAACAGTTCTACGTATATTAGTATAGATATAAGATAAACTATATAATATAAGACCAATCGGGGTTTTTTTTCCTTTTGAGAGCTTACGCTGCGTGGGCTCCGGAAACCATTAAAGTAAATGAAGTGCGGGTAAAATTTAGCGTTATCCCAAAGTAACTAAGTCGCGGGCAAAAGTTAGTTCATCGATAAATATGAAAAGAAGTGACCCGTTGAAATCTAACAATCGGCGTGTCGATTTACTCTAGACTTCCATGGCCAGGACGCCCTGGACTAGCTCCAATTATATCGCCATTAATTATAGATACGATAGTACCCAACCAGTAAATCTAGATTCTTTGGTCGCCTATCCTGTAATAAGTATAGAACTGCGGTCAATACTCGCGGTTGCAGCGGCGGATATGAAAGCAATTTGAGACTGTCATAAAATGTAAATCGCTGAGGCAAACATGGAATCAGTTTAATGATTCGTTTTGCCAATTAGAGTTTATATTTGATACGAGAGGAAATAGATGTGCGCGGAAGCAATAACGCAAATTGAACAGAGTATATACTCGTCTATCAAATGCCTTATTATAAAGATCAAAAACCGGGATGCTATTTGGTTAGGTTTATTTTCATTAAGCGCCAAAGTCTGAAGAGGCAGGAACTAAATTTTAATACGTTGTTTTTCTTGTCCGTAGTGTCTTCGTTTTACTTTTTTTTATTATTGCTTAGATGGGTGGACGAGCTCACAGCCCACCTGGTGTAAGTGGTTACTGAAGCCCATAGGCATCAACAACGTAAATGCGCCGCCCACCTTGAAACCTCACTAGAAGAATCTGAGTGTAGGAATAATAAGATAATAACAATAATAGTTAGGCGCAGCACGAGCAAACTGAAGTTATATAGTTGGATAGTTTTATCACTCTCTAGATCCTAAGACCGGCTATAATTCAGTCGTAAAGCAAATGGCAGGTTAGCAGTTTTTTTAAAATTTTTATTGCTTTGTTGGGTGGACGAGCTTACAGCCCACCTGGTGTTAAGTGGTTACTGGAGCCCATAGGCATCAACAACGTAAATGCGCCACTCACCTTGAAATATAAGTTCTAAAGTCTCAGTATAGTTACAACGGCTGCTCCACCCTTCAAACCGAAACGCATTACTGCTTCACGGCAGAAATACGGCACGGCTGGCGTGCGGACTCACAGGAGGTCCTACCACCAGTAAGCATTAAAAGAATTACAGAAGGTACATTAAAAGGATACCTAACCTTTGAACGCAATCTTAAAATAAAAAGATTCACAATTCGGAATGGAGCCAGCCAAAAACAAGCTCTACTTTAATTGTCTGCTTATTTTTTTCGATTGCCTGTTGTTAAAAATTTTATTTTTAGTTTTATACCGATAATATGCCATATCCGTTAAAATATAATTAGGTTCATCCGCTAGTGGCGCGGTTATTATGCATTAACTAGAAATGAGAACATCTTTAAGGAGCCGTCTTAGTATAATGTATCTTGGATTCACAATCCCGTCTTGATACTTAAAATCTCTTGGATTAAAAATATTCAAATGATGACTTCAATTATTGAAATTTACAACACTCATAAACTCTGCCCTATACACTCATTTATTTCAGACGACTAGAGTCTAAACAAGCTCAACGTGCTTGTATGAATAATATTTTCGGTTGGGTCGGGCGTTACCTACTAAGTATAAGCGTATAAATATAGCGTATAGTAATGTGTATTATCTATGGTAAGTATAGCGTAAGGATAAGACGCCTGGGTGTATTTGTATCAAGCGGTGCAACTGTGCCGGTATTCAAATCCCGTATCAATTTTTCTAATGAAATACGCATTTAACACGAATTAATTGTACGGTTTTATTTTTATTTTTTATTCTTTATTAGTGCCATACACCTATTAGGTTAAGTCGGCTAACTTGTACGGTGAAGGAATAAAAATATGGTAGGACGTCTTGTGAGTCCGCACGGATGAGTACTACAACCCTGTCTATTTCTGCCGTGACGCAATAATGCGTTTCGGTTTGAAGAATGGGGCAGCCGTTGTACTGTTAAAACTGAGACCTTAGAACTCATGTCTCAAGGCGGATGTAAGCATTTATGTTGTAGATTTTTATGGGACCCGGTAACCACTGAACGCCAGGTGGGGCGTGAGCTTGTCCACTCATGAAAGCAATAAATAATAACAACGTTCCGAGTCCCAGTAAAATTTTGCAAAACCTACTTAAGCCCCGTTCTTTAATACACCATATTGTTAGCGTACAGTTACCGTTCCGGACAACGATCTTCGATATTCCACTTAGATTACGAACCGTTTTCAAGACAATTAAACGTTTACAAAAAAATTGAAACGAATACGCATTAATATCAGTTGTATCTGTTGGTTTTATTATGAAAATGAAAGTTTTAGTTTACTTGTAAAGAAAACTTATAAGGAACAAGCGGCCCGTTCCGGCTTCGCTCGGTTCTTCAATAAAAATCTCAACGATTTGACGTTGTTTTATTTTTTTAAATAAAAGAACACTTATTGCGGCATATCTATAATAGTTAGGACACTTTTTGTAAATAATAATGTGTTCTACAAAGTCGTAGTACATTATTTTATTCTATCATCAATAGTTTTCGCAGGGCACGCGATGTAAAGAATATTTTAGGTAATTTTTTTACACCTTGGGTTACATTATTGGAGTTTTAGTAAGGATCCCAAATTGTTTTAAAAAAAAAAGATTATTATAGCCTATATCACTTGGGAATAGTGTAGCTTCCAAACAGTGAAAGAATTTTTCAAATCGGTTCAGTAGTTTCGGAGCCTATTCAATACAAACAAACAAATCTTTCCTCTTTATAATATTAGTATAGATTACGTGTAGGTATGGATAACCGATTTTATAAGGCAATCGGTTATGTACACTACAGTCTGATGTCTTCTACATTGTATTAATTAGGTAGTTGCTTAATTTTACGCCCGTCCCGATCCTGTGGAGCGAATGGTAAACAGTCGATGTCGCCCTAAGCACGCCATTACGGATACTCCCGATCCATTAACGGTGCTTTTAGGTAACTCAAGCACCGGTCACCGTCCTCGCCGAACCTGTCTCTTGCGACGAAGGACTCGACGATTACATTAACCAATAGACACAGCACACTGAGTTTCTCGCCGGATCTTCTCAGTGGGTCGCGTTTCCGATCCGGTGGTAGATTCTGCGAAGCACTGCTCTTGTTAACCCACCCCCTTTGTTAGCCCCGTGAGCTCACCTACTAGTTCGGTGAATCTAGAATAACCCCTCGAAGTTACTAGAATAGAAAGGGAAAAAAGTGCTAAGTAATTTCGGGATCGCATCGAAATGACAATATAACAGATTTTCGGCAGAAATATATTCTGGCAGTAAATAACCGGGCGCGATTGCAATATCCCTTACCGCCAGTAAATAGTGGTCTTAGACATTGTTTTACGTTTATGTTAGGTTAATGGTTGTGGTTTCGTACTGTTGTTGATCGAAGTCATTGATTTATGATTTTTTTTAGTCATCCCAAGAATCATGTAAAACCTATTAGCGTAATTTGAATTCGTAATTAGTAACCAATAAACCCTAACTTGCAGCCCAGCGTTCTAGTTAGATGGATGCACCTTAATTGCAAAATACATTTGATATTTTCACTGGATATCCCACTATGGGTACCATCGCGTATGGATGTCTCTATCTAGGGCTCCGGAAACCACTTCCTACGTGGTAGATCGTGAGCTGATTTATGGATCTACAACATTGAAGAAAATAAAAGACAGTCGCATTCCTAAAGGTCGTCAATATATGTCACTAAAATTTAAAGCCTTTGTAAGGCTAATATCACTTTTACAGTAGATATTTATAATTTAGTGATTGGCTAAAGCATTTCATGTTCTTACAGTTTCTCGAAAACCTTCCGTTATAAGAACTAAAGAACATGAAATTATTAAATTTAATGAAATAGGTCAGGGGGTCATATGTCTTTTCAAATTTCTCGATTGAGTACTTATTCGTATAGCAATGATTCGATTGAGTATGTACTTCAATACCATTAGGTCTAATTGAGAAATTCGTGAGAGCGTTTATAATAGGAAACTGCTGAATGAAATATGGCTAATGGCTAATCGCTAAATACCAATTCTGTTTATCATTTAAAGTTTAATAAAAGATTAAGACATGATTGATATTTTTA